TTAATACATAATTGATGCTATTTCCGCCACTGCAAGATAAACATCGATCAGGGATATATTTCATAAGCGTTACATTTATTTATACAGAATAATGTAAGTTTAGGATGTGCGGAAAGGCAAAAGTAGGTTGAATGAACAGATTAGCACAATTCGACCTGTCAACAATTTAAAGAACAGGTGAAATAAGTGACATAACAGTTTTTTTTACATGATTTGAATGAAATCAAGTCTAATACCAGTGAATACCGGAAAGGCATAAATTAAGGTTAATGAAATTTCGTAAATGAGTGCACATTACTTCAACATATCTGTTTTACTTTTTCCAACAAAAGTTTATGAATAAAACCGGATTTCATGGTCTTGATCATAATTTCATCTTTCGAAAATCACAACAAACTACCTGATTTGAAGACTTCCATAATTTTTATTGTTGTTCGAAAATTTGAATTAAAAAAAAAGACCGGATTAACAGATGTGTTTTAAGAGTATGTTTTATCAAGAATACACATGAATAAATCTGTTATGCCTAATTACAATCTCCTAAAATAATTATTAGAGAACTTGAAAAGATGGATGGATGGATGGATGAATTGATGGAAGGCATAAATTAGGGTTAATGAAAATGAATGCACATTGCTTTAACACATCTGTTTTATTTTTCCAACAAAAGTTTATGAATAAAACCGGATTTTACGGTCAAATAGTTGAGCTCAGCAAGGGCAAATTCGATTCTCTATTTGTTCATTTATTCCTGATCCTTATGAAACGCTTAAACGAGCTCATATGTCCTGATGGTGAAACATATGGTGAAATTTTATGGGCTGCTTTTTGCATTTCCATTTCCTATGAAGCATTCCAATTGTAGTTTAGTTATGTCATTGCATTTATATATAAAAAGTAAATTAATATCAGAATAAAAAGAAATCCGAACTTTGTTCAGATCTGTCTATCGTAATCTTTACTTCAACAATGATCAAAAAAAACATACCACCATATGAAAACACAATTTTCCATTTTATGTAAAATTTTGTCAACATTTAAGCATTCTGTTCACTGCTCATGTCATCACGTATATCAATTGGTTTGCAAATATGCGTGCGAAATCTTGCATAAAGAAAATCAGGAAACAATATTGGACTGTTTCTTTATGTATGATTTCCTTCAACTCCGTTGAAGACGATTATGAATTATATTCCCACAAATAAGAATTATATTCTGTATATTTTCAGAAAAAACGGAAAAGATAGAGAAATGGAAACATTCATACGTGATAAGAATAAATTCAACTCAATTTCTCAATTCAAATTTGTTCCAGTGTTCTGAAAAAACTCAATTTAAATCAATTTAATTTCAAGGTTGAAAAGTAGGAAGCAGTTTTACAGTAACGCTGAGAGTGTAGCACGAAATCTTTTATTAAATTCATGATTCAGAAAAAAAATTATCGTCAAAAACACGCAAACGAAAAGATTAAAAATTAAACGAAAACTTCATATAATTTATGAGCATGATTAATTCAAGTGAAAGAGAAAAATTAGCTCCATTGAACCTTAGAGAAAAAAACACTATTGATGAGAGATGTAAAACACGTTTTCTAACCTAAAAAACAATTTTACAGTGTCAAAAAGACAATCATGCTTTTGTATCGACTGCAACATGAATCAGCAGCATGAGAAGTAAAAATACGAATGAAAATTACTTAAAACGTTATGAAGAAAATGTTAGTTGCTTTGTTTTGAACCATTTTTCGCAAAATTACACAAATAAAGGCATATTGTAATTAGTGAGATAAATTCTTTCCCAACAACACATTTCAATCCTTTAAATATGTGAAAATTATTCAAATTCGAGATCACTGCTAAAAATTTCACTTAGAATATCTCGCTGATAGGTAATCTGGTAGTATAGTTTTGAGAATAAATAGCTGGTTAGCCATAAAACATATAATTGTTACGAAATATAAAACATAACTTAAGGCACAAGAATGCCTTCCTAAAAATCACACAGAAGTAAGTCGGTGAGCACATTTAAATACAGTTAACAAACTAAATGATATTTCAGGATTAAAATTTTCTTAGAATTTGAAACAGAAACAAAAGAAAGTAATTATGATTAACAACAAACTGATCCAAACCATGACTGTTCCGGAAGGTAAATACCTTCTGCTTTAAATATACAGAAACATTTGTAATCTTCATCTTTACTAAAGATATTTCCCGAGAGTTAATTTGGTCCAGCATCTGCAAGAAAAATTGAAAAACATTAATGTTTATACAGGCGAGCAAAAAAATTAAAAACCATAAATTTCACAGAAAAACTTCGTTAAAATATCCTTTAGTCTTGAAAGAATAAAAAATTTACTTCTCGTTGCAATAACTCTATTCCATCCCCCTCGTCCCGGGTCATAATCTTTCCGATATTCATCTCGGACCTAGAATGAATACAATACAACTAGTACATGTTTCAAAATTCGACTTCTTGATTGTATCAAAAAGAAATACCAATAAGAAATAATATCAATATTTTAAAGAAGTTGCTGCATCAAGTATTCTCAGATGAATTAGAACTTTATAAGCTCTAGTGAACTGAAGTATTATAGATGAAGTCAAAATAGAAGAAACAGAAATCGCAGTACCTGTCCGCCATGCTTACCACGTCCGTACTGTCGTCCTTCTACAAATCCAGCATCCCAATCCGTACGAATTATTCGATCATCTAACCGGGTTCCATTTATGCAACGCATTGCGTCTTCTGCATCCTCTCGAAGGTAGTACCTGCATGACTAGTGATTCTTACTATATGTAAATTACATAAAGTGGTTTTGATTGTTTTTTTTAAATCGAACTATTATTTATTCCAAAAAGATAACGCTTCCAGTTCAATATGTCGAACTATAGCCTGTAGCGTCAAAGTCATCCAATAAAATTTCTTTACTTTCTTTCATTTATTGTAAACAAGGTAAGAAATAAATCTTTTTATACTGAAAAAACATAATTTTCAACTCACTCAACAAAGCAGAATCCACATGGTGTCTTCTTAAATCGATCTATACCCATGATTATTCGTTTGATATCGCCAGCCCGACTAAATAGTTCATAAGTCTGAAAAACTACAGAAAATATGAAAATTATAGAACAAAATGACATGATTACATATGAAAACCATAATTTGATTATGTAAACCTGTTCCTCTGTAGTATAGTACGATAGGTTGCCAACATAGAGCGTTTTCGAAGTAAGCAGAAGCTTTTCCTGCTCACGCAGTGAACCCTAAAATACAAGTTTAACAGTCGAATCTTATAAACATAGATAAATCTGCTGCGCACTTACCCAGGAAATTAGTTAATCCAAATTTAAAGAAGAGGAGCAGTAAAGCACAAACTAATAATGTATCATTTTATTCACTATCCTTTTAGAAATATTACGTAACAAGGAGAAAGCAAAAAGTACTAAGAACATCTGAACATAAAACAACGCTTTGTTAATCAGAACTTAGGAAACACGTTTTTTTAAGATTTCTTTATCCAGGCAAATCTCTCATTCCAGGAAATATAAGCCTCCCCTTCCGGCTCAACCTAAATCCCTCATGGCTTATCCTCTTTGTGAAGTGTAACTGAAGTGTAACTTCCCGAGATAGAAAGATGGCCGCTCATTTTTTCGGAACCCTTTCGAGTCATTATCCAACCAAATATATTTTATAAAAAAAATGTCAGAAATATTTGAAAATGAATCAATCAAACTAAGCGATAAAGATAAGAACTGACTTTGAATCGCTGATCGCGGTAAGGGCCTAATGATAAGGCGTCGTCTTTAGCTCGAAAACTGACCTCACTGCTCATTTATTTGCCAAAGCAAGTGCACATCGAAGTGCTGGAAAAACTTGTTATTAAAACAAGCGCAAAGACCTGAGGTTCACATAATACCTACTCAGTGCAAAAATGACATCAATAAATTTGATAAAATATCAAACTGTCATTTATTCTCCCATTAGCTCATTTCTTTCGCTATAGACGAATGCGACAATCTTGAAAGCAACACATTGAACCACATGATAATACATGAAACATATAAATCCGACAGCCTAGACCAACTCCGCAAACTACCCCGTCATCCCTTGCCCGTCCACTTCGTCAACACCCTCATAAACCAAACTAATTCTGCATACTTCCTAATTGATATGTTTAACGTAATAAATAAGGGCTCTAAATGAAAAATTGTTGTCCCATCGAGCGAGAGCTTGATCATATTGGTTGGACATTGTGTTTTAGTGCTAAATTTGGACAATAACTGGCGAATAAATGTATATTCGGCGATAATTTGGTAAATCAAAAGTTTAAAAATACTAAGCGAATATAGATATTTCAAATGAAATCAGATTTTAAAATTTTGTTAGAGAATTTCTACGGGAATTACAATTTCACCTTATAAAAATTTCTGAACTAAATTTGACGTAGTCAGACGATTATTGTGACTTTCTTAAAAATGCAAATATTAGTTTTCAATTGCATATTTCACATTTAGCATGATATCTTTATAAATAACAAAATGTATGATTTCATCGATTAATACATCTTTTGCATAACGTTTGATTTTATTGGTAATAAATTTTATACTTCATTTTTATGAAGTGTACTTTTCAAGATTATTTGATTGAAGGAAAAGAAATAGCTAAGAAATTGGAAATCAAAAAAGTTAATAGCTTTAATGCTTAATTATTAGTTAATAGCTTTAATGCTTAATTTTTTGAATTCTTTATTTTTCCCTTTTTCACAATAAACAAATATTATAATACTTTTGTTCTTCTCATTATTATTGTAAAATTAATCGCTAAATTTGTGATATATAAAATTGATAAAAATTTTTTTTTTAAATAACAAATGATAGGAAATCATTGCTATCTTTCTTTATCACTTCTCAAATATCATTAATCATTTTCACACATTAAACAAATTATTGATAATTTATCAAATAGGTTAATACACAATATGATAATTAAATAAATTTTCATGGATGAATATCTGTTGAAAGAGCTTGCACAATACACAAATCACTTTTAGAACCTTTTTTGAATTCTTCAAGCGTTAATTTACCATCAAGATTCTGCAAAATGTTTTTCTTTATTATTTAAGAGTAATAAATGAAACTTCAAATTTTCCAAAAAATGAAATAACAATTAACAATTAATTTATTAATACTAATTAATATTTGTTTAGTTGAAATCAAATAAGAAACTTAATAACTCCCTTATCAATACTAATGAGTACTGTTTAATTGAAATCAAATAAAACTATTTTAAGTTTTCTGAAATCGAATAAAAGAAAAACAAAGCTAAAATTTAAGTGTAAATAAAATTATTTATATTCAAAAAATTCTTAGATAAGATATAATTTTAATAGAAATTAAATAGGAATATTTAAACTTAAAATTCCTAATTAATAAATGAAATAAAATAAAAGATTTTATTATGAATGAGAAGAAGATAGAAATAAACAAACATGATCCATATTAGAGAAAATTTTAGCGACTCGTTTCTCAGGTGTATTCTCATCTTTGGGTAATTCAAGGATATTACCGATCATTGAATGTATTGCTTCAACAATATCTGTCATTTCTTTCATCGTTATATAACCATCTTTGTCCATATCATACAATGAAAAAGCCCCTAAATAAATAAATAAATAAATGATTGAAATTGACTAATTAAAATTTCATTAATTATTTTTAAAAAATATTTCAAAAATTAGCAATAGAATTTAAAAAATAGTAATTGATGCTTACAGTTTAGCTTTTCATCGAGTGTACCTCGTGATGTAATTGATAATGCTGTAATGAATTCGTGAAATGATATACAGCCATCCTGAATTAATTTTATTCTTTTAATCCATTAATAAAAACAATCAAAAAATGAATCATCTCTCATATTAAATTATTAGTTTCATTTCAATTAGAAAATAAAAGATCGCTTATAATAGTATAAAATTATGTGATATATAAAATTTATAGTATAATAAAATTTGTTGATAGATATTCGAATGTAAAATTACAGTTGAAATTTGAGAATTTTTTGTTTGGTTTTATATAACTCTATGAAATTTAATATAAGTTTGGTAAATTTCTATTTGAAATTCAATCTTTAGAAGAAAAACTTTTCCCAAAACTTTTAATCTTAGAAAAACTTGAAATTAGTCAGACAGTTTAGCAGAATGATTCAGATTTCAGTAAACTTTAAACTTTTAGGTATTTAAGAATTCAATTCCATTTTTAGGAATAAGCGAAAGTTAAGGGATAATAAATTCTGTGACATAGATGGACATTGAAGCATATAGTAAGTATATAAATGTGTAATAATTTTAGAATTAGAATTAGCTTAAAAAGTGCTGTTGTATCATCATTTCCATTTAAATCACGTTGACTGAACTATCAACTGGTTGGTTTTAAGAGAACAAACCGAAAATATTATCATATATGCTTCCCTAATAATACATGATTTAGCCTGAAATACAGTACCTGACATACCTGACATACGTTACACGATCAATTAATGTATTTCATAAAACAAACTATGTGAGCCTTACAAGCATTTTAGGAGCAAAAAAAATTGTACTTGATCATGCTAACTAAAAAGATATTAAGGGCTATTTGTGAATAAAATAAATTTACTAATTAAATTATTGCTTAATTAAACCAAATAATCTGAATGATATTATCTGAAAGCAATTAATCAAAATTTTAACCATGCAACCATAATTTATAATAAAGCTAACTTCATTACTGTCGAAGACATTGAATACAAATGTAGCAAATTTTGTTGGATCACCATTTGGGAAGAATTTCTTGTAAATATTCTGGAATTCTTCTATTTTCAATTTTCCGGTTGGATAATCCTTCACAAAATCTTTATACCATTTCCGTAATTCCTTCTTAGTAACTGCAATCTAATATGATTATTTTATGTACGAAATTAAATTTGTATAAAAAGAAAAGCCTTCTTATCTTCTTATCACTAATCATTCTTATCATCGAAATATTTTCCTGCAAATGAAAAAAAGTATACATTTACATTTTATCTTGACTATTTTATCTTATTCGCTAATATCATTGAATGAAAGAACAAAAGATTAAATTATAATAATAATAGAATTAATAATTTCAATAAAAATTAAGTAATAAAATTAATTTCGAATTTTTCAAAATAATAAAAATCAACGAACAATATGTTTTGCTTTCCAATTCCAATAAATCTTCTTTCGAAATTCTTTTGCATACTTTCTTTCCTTTCTTCTCTTTACCTTCTTTACTTCTTCCTATACCCATTCAGTATTTTTCAAATATTCAAATTTTCTTTTTTTAAAACAAATATTTGAAACGAAATAATCTTGTTAAATTAAATATAGCATACAGAAAATAAGCAGACTTCTAGAGATTCTATCAAATTTCACTTTTCACTACGATTGACTTCCCTGAAATTATTTCAACTTATATGTAAATTAAAATAAATACTAATAATTGTGGTAAAGTGATAAGATTAATCAGTAAAAAAGAGATCGCTAAGATGAAAGAATAATTTTGAAATTAAATTTAAAAATTAAAATTTAAAATAAAATAAAGAAATGGTTGACATTTTCTAAATTCAATTTCAATACTTTATAGTTTAGTTAAATTTACACATTTCCATTTTCTTCTTGCTAAATTTTGATCGAAGATCATGCTGGATATACATTGAATTATGCTTAATTTTTGCTACTCTTTTTTCATTCAACTCTAAATTGGACAAACAGAATGGGAATATCGTTGCAAACTTTAATTTGTAAAGTATAATTTAGGAAATAATCCATTTCATGATTAAATAATTTTAAGCAAACAAAACCTTTAATGATTCTAAACCTATACAGTAATTAGTGTAATTAGATGGAAAAACTATTTTCTGTTATTTCTAACAAGTTACATTTATAAATTAATTTGCTGCTAATGAAGCATTTAGTGAAATTTTAAAATTGCTACTAATCAATAATTAATTTTAATTTAAAATTCATAAAAATAATACATAGGTTATTTACTGCAAATTTTTGTTTGATAAAATATTTGATAAAATATAAGTATAAGAATATAAATTAAACATTACCAATAACCGTATGATTGTAAACTATCTGAATTATCGCCTTAATATAATGATTTTATCTTTATCTCGAATATTTACCGTTGTAAAATATTGATTTTTATTTCTTTGTCTCAAACATTTACAATTGTTATAAATTAAATTATTACTAATAGTTATAATAATAAAATTGGAAGCGATTTTTTTCGTAAGAAAGTTGAAAGTATAATGAATGAAACTAATTCCCTTCAAAAAAAGACGAAGAGAAACAAAACTTGAAATCACAACTGTTGCAAAATAAATATGTTGAATTCGACAATGAAGGAAAAGCACAAATTCGACGATGCCATTTGCCTTCTTTGATAATTTCTGCTAAAAATTCTATTACTCAACGATCGATACATATTTGACTAAAAATAACTTCCCGTTTTAATATAAGTGATAAGAGATAACTTCTTTCCTATTAAAATTTCTACACGTAAGAAAATTAACAAGCTGAAATAAATTTCTTATTTCAGCTTATTTAAACCTAAAATAGTAATATTTCAAGACATAAATATATTCGAGAAACTATGTACTTCAATTATTTATCGTAATTTATAAAAGGTAAAAAGGAAATTGAAATTCTAATTTAAAATAATGCTATTTTCGACAAAAATATCTTATATGTTCTCTGCTAATCGTTTTAAAAAAACTTTTTAAGAAAATCCTTAAACTGAACAAATCGATTTATACGATTGGTACAATAAATATATTAAATGAAAGATATAGAAAATTGTTCAATCTTAAAAAGATCATTAAATTCAGGATAATGTTTACTTCATCAATACTAAAACAATGGATAACACAATTGGCTAGAAATGCTACATTTTTTTCTATTCCACAAAAATTTATTATTCCTTTTACCTTTGTTGATTATATTAAAATTCTTAAATGAACAAATGATTTCCATAAAATATTATTCTAAAATTAAAATATGCTAAATTTTTAAGATTGCAAAATGCCTTACTCTTATTGACAACCGATTCGTCCATCTTTAAATTTTTTTAAACAATGCAATAAAAATGGAATATCTCGCAATGATCTATCACTCTTTTCTCATCCTATTTACCACTTTCCTAGCTGCATCTCGGGAAGAAAAATTTTAAATTCATATTAATCATTAAGTGAGACAACAAGAAAACGATAAATTCTACTACACCCAAAGATTTAGTTTTATTTCTGACAGCTTATTTAGCGTGAAATTCGGGTTAATTGAACTACTCTTTGATTATCTTTTATATATTCATTACACTTATATTACTGATAAAAAGATCAAAATAAAAATTAAAGAACTTTAGCAATGATATGTATAATTGAATTGAATGGATACGATGATTTTAACTTGAAGGAATCTATGTTGACATGATATCCATGAATACATCAAAGATCAATGCTTTTGATTTTATTATTCAATCCTAATTCAATGATATTACAATTTGATATTTTTGAAATAATTAATAAACAAAAAATAAAATTAATTAATTTTCATTTCGTCGCTAAATTTTGCAAAAAAATTAAAATCGAAAATATTTGAAGTAAATATTGCAAGGAAATATTTTCAATCTAAAAGAAATATTCATTATGGGAAATCGAAAATGACTGAAAATTATGTTAAATCGATTTGCACTTAACATTTCCATCTTGTTTTTCTTCTTCAATGTTGTTCAATTTCAGTGATAAATTAATGTTTCGAAAAAGCCATTAAATTTTCATCGAACTAATAAATATTTTATCATCAAACATTTGAAATCTTTCTGCATAAAATATCTGTTATTGTTAACAGATATCTGATAAATAATAAAGCTATAAAGTAGTAATGCAAAATTCAAAATTATATGAATATTTTTAAAATTAGTTTTGAAGAAAAAATTTTTTTTAATAGAAGTTATCTTTGACTCTGTTACTGTTAACAGCTATCAGATAAATAATATAGTAGTAATCTTCGACTCTGTTACTGTTAATAGCTATCAGATAAAGGATATAGTAGTAATTTTCGACTCTGTTACTGTTAACAGTTATCAGATAAATGATATAGAAGTAATCTTTGACGCTGTTACTGTTAACAGCTATCAGAGAAATGATAAGTTTTGATTTTCTTATTTTACATTATTCTTTCACAGCTCATTTCTTTTCCTGAAGATATTTGATGGATTGCAAAAGAAAGAAGAAACTAAAATATTCTAGAGAATCAATTTTAGGATAAAATTAAAATCCATTTTTATTAGTGAAGTATGAGAATAAATAACAAATGAATAGATTAGAGAAGAAAGGCAAAATTGTTAAGAAATTTTTAGGATTAAAAAAAATTGAATTACTTCTCGTATTGTTTTTGAAATTTATAAAATTCCCTACTAAAATTATTTGAAAATTTCCATTGGGAGATATTTATTTTCATTTAATGGTAGTCGAAGTATTTCCTTCGCATTGTTTTTACCGAATGCCTGAAAAAAGATTTTTGCAATAATTTATTTCTTCTTAATAGCCTAATTGAAACGGTGAGAAAATTGCTAAAGTAGATGAAAAATATTATTATGATAAAAATTAACAATATCATATATTTTAAAATGAATTTAAAAAGAAGCAGTAGTAGTGATATCAGTGATCGAAAGCGATAAGAGAGACACTATTGGTGTTATTTGCTGATAAAAGATAGAAGACATGATTTAGTAGTCCATAGAGAATATGATAATTATGAAATTAATAGCTATTTATTATGAATACTCCATTTTGTTCAATTTCAATATTATTATCATTAAGATGTTGAAAATAAATAGAATAGGAAAAACTTCAAAGCTAAGAATATTTTCATTTCTCTCATTTTGCAACGCTAGGATATTTTCTAGACATAATCATTTTCTCATCTACCATATCATATTTCAATAATTAGTTATGAATGAATATTTAAATGTACAGTTCATAGGTCATCTCATGATTTAGTGCTGCTCTTTTGCAATCATTTCCTGATAAAATCGATAAAGTTGTAAAAAAAAATGCAAGGTATTGGTAAATTGGATTTTTTGATCTCATCTGATATTCTCTCCTGTGGGTTTATTATAAAAGAGTCAAAGGTTATTTCGAAGAAAAGTGAAACGTAAATTTAAATGGCAAATTTTACAAATTTATATATAGGAAAAAATTCTGTGAAATTTTTGAAAAACAAAATTTCAACATGAATGTGTATCTCTTATCTTTTGAATTAGAAGTTTGAAAATTTTAGAATACGAAATAAGCATAGTCTGAAGTTTGAACTAATTATTTTCGTTTTTTTCTAATTAGTTAGAAACAGAGAAATTAAGAATATTTAGTCCTTTTTTTTCTTTTGAAATGGAAATTACAAATTTTAAATCTGTTTTATATCCCATAAAATTTTTTATTTGAAATATATTTTTAACAGACTTTAGAAAAATGTATTCTTTTTCTATCGTTCGTTTTTTTCCTTTCATTTAGCTTAACTTTCCGTTATATATTGTTAGGGAAATCCGGAAAATATAATTCATCATTTTAAAATTTCTCATGCGCTAATTTTGATAATTAAACAAAAATAATAGAGCAAAACTTTTGTTAGCGATATGAAGAAAAAAAAGCTTCTTAAAATAATCAGTTATATCTTCAATGCTGAATTATCAGTATACTATCAAAACAAATACTTCACAATTCATTATGACAATGATAAGTTAAATTTACCAATGCTATATTTTCTAATTTCATTTCTATAATTTTATTCAACTCAAACGAATTATTGAAATATAAATATTGTTTTAACAATCAAAGGAGAAAAAGATTTTCGAAACGATGAGTCATAAGTTCGAAACGATGAGTCATAAGAGTCATAAGTTCTAAATTTAAATTGACAAATGATTTTTAAAAATATCTGAAATTTGAAATTTTCTATTTTTCTTTTGCACGCACAAAAAAATTGTATTATATTATTATTTAAATTAGGAAAATTTGAAATATTTAAAATATGACTTGGAAAATATCTTTTAGAGAGTTGAAATTTGTGTATTAAATTATAATTCTATCATTTGCATATTTTCATTCTTCCATAATATTCCCATAATTAAATTTATTTCGTGCTTTCTTTAATTTACTCTTTTTCATCTAAATTTGAAGCTGCTAAAATTTCATTATTATCAAATAATCTTTTAAGTAAAGTTTTATCTATTTGAAATATCAT